CACCACAAAGCGCTAAATCGAAAAGGGGGAGAAGCCAGGTGGGATACTCTGTGATCCCAGGATTATTAAACAATAAGTGTCTCCAAAGCGAAGAACCTGAAAGAAATCAGATGCTTGCTCAACTATTTAAAAAATATGTACTGAGAACACACAGCTACACACAGTTTTCCCCTCAATGGTATTGAGAAATAATTGACACACATCACTGTGTGACTGTCAGGCATGGAGCGTGATGGTTTGATTTTCATATACTGTGAAATGATTACCATGGTTGGTTGAGCGAACACCTATCTTCTCATGCAGATACAATAGAAAGAAGTAAATATGGACAAAAAGAAAACAATTTCCTCCTTGTGATGAGAGCTCCTAGGCCTGACTCCCTCAACCCCTTCCCCGGGCATCCTACAGCAGTGTTAGCTAGTCGTCCTGCCCCAATTACATCCCTGGTCCTTATTTAGCTTATATCTGAAGCTTCTGCCTTTGGATCACCTTCCTCCAATTTCCCTTCAGCCCACCCTCTGCCCCTGGCAACCACAAGTCTCATCTCTTTTCCTTGGACTTTTCTTTTTTAAAGATTCCACATAAAAGTGAATCGTAGAGGGTTAATCTTTCTCTGACTTATTTCAATTAACATAATGCCTTCAAGGTCCACCCATGTACTTGCAAACAGTAAGATTTTTCTTTTCAATGGCTGAATAATATGCCAGTGTCTCTCTGTGTGTATCCATATCCATATGTGCTACAGCTTCTTGTGCACTTATCCATCAGTGGACACTTAGGTTGCTTCCTTATCTTGGCTATTGTAAAAAATGCTGCTATGTCATGAGGACGCAGGTATCTTTTCAACCTTCTATTTTCTTTTTGTTTCTTTTGTTTTGTTGCTCTTTGGGATATATTCCCAGAATTCGAATTGTTGGGTTATATGATAGTTCTATTTTTAATTTTTTGAGGATCCTACATACTCTTTTCCATAGTGTCTGCACCAATTTACATTCCCACCAAGAGTGCACAAGGGTTCCCTTTATTGCACATCCACACTAGCATGTTTTTATTTTTTGTGTTTAAAAAAAAATAACACATAGTTGACATGCAATATTTTATCAGTTTCAGGTGTACAACATAGTTATTCGATATTTGTGTACCTTATGAAGTGATTACCACAAATAAATCTAGGAGTGATGTTTATTGGACTTATCTTCTCGTCTTTTTGATGTTGACCATATTAACAGGCATTAGGTGACATCGCATAGTGGTTTTCAAAACAATATTTTTATTCATTTTTAGATAGAGAAGAAGGGAAAGGGAAAGAAAGAAAAACATTGATGTGAGAGCAGAACATCGACTAGTTGCCTCCTGCATGCCCCTACCTGGGATAGAGCCTGCAACCCTGGCATGTGCCCAGACCAGGAATTGAACCAGCAACCTTTTGGTGCACGGGATGATGCCCAAGCAACTGAGCCATGCAGGCCAGGGCTTGCAGTGGTTTTGATTTGCATTTCCCAAATGGCTCGTGGTCTTGAGCATCTTTGCATGTACCTGTTGAGAAATGTCTATTCAGGTCCTTAGCTGATTTCTAAATAGGGTTATTTGGATTTTTGCTATTGAGTTGTACAAGCTATTTATATAGTTTGCAAGTTAAACCCTTGTCACATATATGGTTTTCAAATATTCTTTTTACCCTTTCTTAGGTGGTCCTTTCACTTGGTTGATGGTTTCTTTTGCAGCGGGCACTCTTTTCTTGATATTTTGAAAATACAATGGTGAGCAAAAAATGTAGCCCACGTCCTTGGGAAAATTACACGTCAGGGGTTATTTCTGATTTCTGTGTCAGACTTTAAATATAATTTTTAACTCTTTTAGACTACTTTTATGAATAGAAATAAATGAAAACATGTTCAAGTCTTTTCAAATGATTTTTACAAAAGATAACCAATGTGAAAAACCAACCTTTAATGAAAGATGTGGAAGACACTATGCCACAGGAATGTCATGGTGTTTACAAAGCACCTCCTGCGCAGCCAGGCGTGGCTCAGCGGTTGAGCATCAACCTAGGATCCAGGAGATCAGGGTTCAATTCCTGGTAAGGGCACATGCCCGGGTTGCAGGCTTGATCAATGACTCTCTCATCATTGATGTTTCTCTCTCTCTCTCTTCCTTCCTCTCTCTGAAATCAATAAAGATATATTTAAAAAACAACAAAAAACAACAAAGCACCTCCTAAGGTGCTTAGAAATGAAAATCTCTAAGAAAATTCATTACTAAATAGTATTCATAGTCAGTGGTGCGTGATGAGACTGTGGTTTGTTATAATATTTAATCAGTCCTACAGATTTTCTAGTGAGGTTTGAGTGACTAACGGATCTGAAGAACATATTGATGAAGGGTCAAAACAACTTGGGGAAATGCCCCGAGGGCCATTCTCCCAATGAGAAACACTAATTGCTTAGCCAAGGCACGCAGTTCTGTTTCTAGATACCACCTAAGGGAACAATGAGGCCTGTGGAGCAGTCACGGCCGACCAATCGCTTAAGAAAGGCACCACTGTTTATACAAAAATTTGTTCTACGAGTTTTTTTAAACACAAAGGGCGGGGGTTACGGAAGCAAGACGGAAGAACGGTGCAACACTGCCACCTGCAGGCAAGAGAAACTCAGAGCCGTCATTCTTGGAAGAAAATTCCTATTTTTCGCTGGATTTCCAAAAAAACAGGACAAACAATATCTCGGGTCACCATACCCTTTGACAGTTATAGTCAGAAGACGCAGGGATGAGCCCAAGGAACCCGTGAGAAACAACACCAGCGCCGCCATCTTCCTTAGTCCCACCCTCCGAACCACAGCTACTTTCTGGCAAGTCCCTTTTCCCAGAATGCACCCTGCCGCCGGGGCTGCATTCCCATTGGACAGTTCGAGACCTGCGCGTTGTGGGAAACTGAGGCCACTGCCAGTCTCGAGGCCTCCCTCAGATACCAGTTTCCTCTGAGGCCCTATTGCAAACAGCCAACTGATGGACAGGGCCTGTGCCTCACCTGCCCAATCTGCCCCACCTATGGGGCCCTTCCAATTACCTACTCACACTTCACCTACCCCAGCCTGTGAACACCCTGCTCCCTTGGCAGAATCACCTACCTCCCCTCAGCCCTCATTCTTGGGGAACCTCCTGGTATTACCAGGGCCCAGAAGCCTGACTAGGTCAGCCCTGGAGACTCCGACCTCAGGGGTGTTCTCCTGATCACCTGAGCGGCACCTTGCACAGGGGTCATGCCATGAAGCCCCTTCCCCTCCACGATGGCCACTGCCAGCATTCCCCTGTCAACACCTCACCACTGTGCAAGGCTCAGCCAGCTCCCTCTTTCTAATATCCACTTAAACAAACTTAAACTCTGGTGGGCTCTAGTGTGGACCCCACAGCCTTCCTCACCTTCCCACACTACCAAGTCCTATAAACTGCGCTTTCTGTGTCTTTTCTCCCTGTTCTGTTGCACCGCAATAATGGATACAACCCTGCTGTATGTGAGCACCTGAACAGAGGATAAAAATGTTTATCCTTACTGAGTTGTCCTAAATCCATGAAAATGAGACCATGGCTTCTCCCTGCCTCACTCNTGCCTTCTCCCTGCCTCACTCGTCCTACCTACATCACTACCTCACCCTCTAGCAACCCTCTTCCATTCTGATGCACAAGACAGGAGCATGGGGGGGGACTTCTCCGAGCTTCCCAGACACACTGGACCTGTTCTGCGCTCACATTCTCTGCTGCTCCTGGGCATGCCTGCTCCTGACTACAGCCAGCCCTCCCATGTGCTCAGGATTCCATGTCTTCCACCTGCTCAGGGGATTCAGTCCTGCACTTAGCATCGCTCCTCTCTCCTGAGCCATCACTGAGGAGGAATGGAGAGGTAGCAGAAAGGGAAATCTACTGCAGTCTACACTTCCTAGAAGTTTGGCTTCCAAGGAATCAAGGCATGGGTATTAGAAGCAGAGGGCTGTTTGCTTTTCACTATGTTATATACTGTCCCCAAAACAAGACAGAACACGCCAAGATGCAGGTAGCAGACATCCCTTAGGATCCTGAGGATGTTGAATAAGTGACAAAGTGTTGGAGAGTTGGCGTGAACCTCAGAGTAGATGCTTTAAGGTGAGGAGGGAGGAACAGGGGTTTCAAGCAGCACCAGGTCTGCAGGAAGACCCCATCCTGACTCCTGCCCCATTCTTAATTCTGTGACCCACTGAGCAATGGGTGGGGAGATTCAACATCTTCCAAGTTAAAAGCCTCGATAGTTGGTGAGGGGGAGAGTAAGATTGAGTTAACTTAGAAAAAGTGGGAAACATTGGGCGTTTTTGGCTAAGGTGACATAAAAAGGTCAGTTATACTATAGGAACAGGAAGCAGTCCTGAGATGAGGGCAGGGGATGCAAGGGGCTGGGTTTGGGGTGATGGCAGGAGCTGGAGACATGGGGAATTGAATGGCCCAGAGATTCAGACAAAATGTCTTGTGCGAAGACATTTCTTTTTCAGGAACAGGAAGCTATGAGAACATAGAAGGAGTCTGTCTTCTGTGTGTCCTAGACTAGGATGGATTTAAAGCATCTGTCAATCTAAGCGCTGTTGATGAGATTGGCCTCGATCACTCCTATCTGGTGGTGATGAGGCTGTGCTCTGGGGTCCCTCAGAGGAGGAACAGAGGGCCGGGCCATAGAAAAGAACTCCCTTGTGAATCTGGCCCCAGGGGAAGTGGGGTATCCATCTAGGCCCAGGTCACCACAAAAGTCCTGGTGGATTGTTAGAAGTGCAGGGAGAAACATGACTCGAGTCTTTCAATATCTTATCGAGGGCCACGTTTCTCAGGTCACCGTGAAATAAATGGGGGCATATGCTCTCGGGAGCAGGAACACGGTCCAGTATCCAACAGATTACTGCCATAGCTACAGGCAGGAACTATAAAAACTCAAGGTCTTTGTGGGGGAATCCCTGTCTGTCCAAAGTTCCTTAACCCTGTTTCAGGGATAAGGATCAGAGGTGAAACAGCAAAAGATGAGGAAAGGGGATGAGGTGGGACATGACTGGAAATAGTAGAACCAGCCCTTCCTACAAGCTGACCCCTTTAGGTCACCAGGTAGAGACCCAAGATTCCTGTGGCTTCTCTAGAACTAGACCCTGCTGTCCCCTTGAGAGACTCTACAGCCTCAGCTCACTTTGTCTCCTTAAGATGAAGGGGGTAGAAGGTATGATTTTCTGAGGTGCAGGAACCAAATGGGGCAATGGGATGAAAGGTCTTCTAAGTCACGGAGCCCCATGTACAGTGAGCCTGTCACCCCTGACCCCGTTTCTCACATGTAATTGTTGGTCTGCAGTATTCAATGGGCTCTCCTCTGTGGCAAACGCACTGAAGGGGCCAGGGGCACCCGAGGTGCCCAAAAGCAGAGACCTGAGACCTGCCCATCACCAGGAGGGTTTGATTGCTGCTCTCCCTGGACAAAAGGCAGTGCCCCTGCTCAGGGCCCAGTTGTGTAGGAGACGAGGGCAGCGTCCCCCTTGAAGAGGAGGTTCCCTGAGGACACAGCAGGCTGAGCAAGAGATCTTGGGACATAGTCTGGGTCTGTCAGCAACTACTGCGATTCTCACCCCAGCCTCTCAGCTCTAGGGAGGACTCTGGCACGATTTACCTTCTAAAGAAATAAGAAGGAAAACACCGCCTTCTCCTCATAAACATACTGACTTTCTGCACCTTCCCGCAGGCTTCCATTCCTGGCCCCGGGAAACTTTTCCTGAAGCCCAGCTCCAGGACTCAGGCCTTGGAGTGAAGGCCCCTGTCGTTAACGGACAGGAGCCTGGCATAGCCTGTGGAGGGAAGGACGGCCTTGCTGAGACCCTGCTCGCCTCAGTGACAACCCTCATCAGCTCCTCCACTCGGTGAGTCTGGCTGGGTTTCTCCTCTTGCTGTGATGTTTTAGCGGTCCGTTGATGGCATGCTAGATAAACGTTGTCCTGGGTTAAAGGCAGGAGGACGCAAGGACACCAAGGTCCGCACTCGCAGGGACACATTGGAAGTGGGCAAAGGAGGACCGTGTGGGGACAGTGTGCTGACATCCCAGGTTCACCGGTCCCCCTCAGATGCAGGGGCCCTTTGGTTTGTTTATTCTGCCCCACTGTGCTAATCATCAGCGGGGTCCCTACTTTGAGCCAGAATAGGGGGAGCAAAGTTGCCCTGAGTTTGCTTCCAATCTAGTGAGGTGAGATGCAAGCATGTGAATGGCCCATGTGCAGACTTGCTCAGTGACTTTCAGTGAAAATGCTCGCTCTCAGATTTCTACCCCACATCCCCAATTCTTTGTGAGGGTTGGGGAAGGGGCACGTGTGGCTTGTGAGTCTGTGCCTTGTTGCGGGAAGGCGAGCTGGGAGGCACCGTATGTCTCACTGTGCCCTAGGCGGTCTCTGTGGAAATGATGGCCCCTGTGTCCCAGATCCAGTTGGTGAATCTCAGCCATGCATGCGGCTGGTGAAAGTTGCATTTCTGATTCTCACCTCTTGTTCAGGAATTGGTGCTCCCTGGCTGACTCAGTGTCCCACAGCTATGCTGACCGCTCTGAACCTGTGTGTCACCGTCCATACCGGGCCTGGGCAGGAGTGCCCTCCTCCATAACCTCAGCTGCAGGCTCATTAGCCGCTTGCCTGCTTCCACTTCCCTCATGAACCCCTGCCTTTGGTCAGCCACTTTCTCCATACCCCCTTCAAGAAGGGCGGTCCCCGGGGCCTCACCTACAGCGCAGCAGGAACCAGGATCAGCTGCAGAACGCTCCATTCCTAAACTCCAGCTGCCCCTCTGCCCAGATGCACTGCTGGCTCATTGTGCAGTGTCCTCCTGTACGCCCCTACTGTGAATGAGGTGTGACCCTCTTTTACGTGGAGGCCGGGTGGAAAGGGAGGAAGGCCGTGGTGTCCACACAGGAGGTCCCCAGGAGCTTGAAGGCTAAGTGGACACATTAGGGAGCTTTAGGAACAGGGCATGGTTTGGGAGTCATGATAGAGGAGAATGCCCCGAGTGGGTATCATGGAGTGGCAAGGGGTTACCTGATGCCCGGGAGTGGCCCTGGGCAGGGCGGTGCAGGCTGCGGAGGAAGTGAAGAACATCCCTCTGAGGACCCCCCGGATCCCTGTGCACCTAGTCAGGCTCCAGGGCCCGGAGGTCTCTGAAAGGTCCCGAGGACTGGGGACCCCGGGAGAACATCTTGGAGACGGCAGAGGGGGCGGAGGGGAGGGCGGG